AGTTTGAATTTAAAACAAAGCATGGACAGCAGAATCTGATAAACATCGTGACGGCTATTCAATTGCATCCTGTAGTTGTATCAGTCAGAAAAACGAATAGAAGCATAAAGAAGTGTGTCGATAAATTATCTGTTACTGCTATATAATAATTAAAGAGATCATCGAGCAGCTCAGATTCTCACTTGAATGCTGACTCTAGGTTATGTCAACCCACCTGTGTAAAAGAGGAAGGACCCAAAAAGATGAGAACAAGAATAAGAGTAAGAGATGAGATTCTTAAAGGTAGGTTTAACAAAAGTTGACAAGTGTATATATGTAGGCCGCAGACTGTGTTCCACCAGAACTAATACAGATTGTTGAGGTTTCCTGATCTCCCAATTTCCTGATTTGTGAACCCCAGCACTTTAAGTAAAAGAGTCTCAACTCTTGCATATTATGACCGAAACCATTTGAATACTTGTTACCAAAGGATAAGTGCTTACCTTGGCAGATCCCAGATTCGGCTGACACCTTGGTATATGTATTTGCGACAAGATGTGATCATTTGGTTGGTAACCTTCACCATCAGCGAGGTCATTCGCTCGGGGGTGTTATAGTAATGTGAAATTTCATAGATCATACGGATAGCATTGAGTAGACCGGGAATTTGTTCTGTCAGCTGGATCTTGAGGTAAAATCAGCAAAATATAAATTGCAGCACGAGCAATTCACACACAAATTCAAGTTTTTGAAAACCAGCGGGAGAGCTTACTGGACCATTTTTCGCCAAAGGACCAAGGAATTTGTCCAGATTTGTGAGAAAACGAACATTTGTTTTTGCCTCGTTGGCTGCATCGGTTATCTTGTTGTTCTGAATGTCGGAAAAAGTACACATTTACTACTCGTCAATTTGAGCAAAAACATGTGCATATGTCATACAGATACGATTCTTAGGCTAAAGCTACCCACACGCACACATATATGCATGTAGCATACATATAAAAACACGCGAATATGACACAAATGTGAAAATCAGTTAATATTATAAAGGAAGGACTGTGAGCCTGAGGTCCGAAATTGTATTTATTCAACGTCAGGACGTGTAATCTTTTTGACAGAAGAGGTAAATGAATGAATTAACGTCCAATGACCACAGTGTTTGTACATATCTGTATATACGTCCTGTTATGCCCTGGAGCTCTGTCTGGAATCCTCGCAGGTAGTCGCATAGCGACATGTGAAATGTGGTGGAAAGACAACCACCTGAACTGAAGTGAACTCAGTCGAGGCAGACGGAATGTCGAATGAGTCGCGAAAATTAACTCGCTTTTGGGTTCTTTATACCCTGTTTCGGCCAATGCTTATCAGGACACTACCTGGGATCAGAAACTCAAACAGTTCTCAAGGTCCACAGGATGCACACGTGACTCCCTTAACGTATACATGAAACGTATCAGTATGTGCGAAGAAAAGTAAAGTGTGATTTCAGTGGGAAATAAGAAGAAGCATCCACAAATTATCTAGAAATGGGCGAAGGCAACCTACAAGTTCACTCCAGAGCTTCATGCCACGAGACTTGGCGAAGCTCAAGGCGACCGTCACCGTACGAACTTCAGGGCTCACCAACTGCTCTAGAAGTCTATGAGAAAAAATAAGGTAGATTCAGAAGCGCAGTAGAAGAAATCAAGCAAAAATTAAAAACTGACAGTCATCATCACTGTTTGCATAAGAGCGGAAACATTCACCGGAGCGCGAGCTACTGTCGGGGTGACGTACCACAGTGTAGATATGGAGCCCTTATTTTACCTATTATACCTACTATCATAATTTTAGTAGGCCTGTTTTTATTAGTACGTTTTATGAAAAGAAAGATCTTCGGAAAATTGAGTTGTACTCCGAGTTTTATGTCCGTAGGTTGGCTATTTTACTGCCTAGTGCTCGTGAATCTTGGCTTTAGACCAGACTGGGACAGTCTTCTTATCTTTATCGGTGGGTACTAAATTTAATAAATCAGCTGAATATGAGCTTCTTTCATAAGAAGTTTAACCCTCTCCCTTCCTCAAGGGTGCGCTCTCAGAGAGACCAGTCTTTTGAGGCCTCAGTGTCCGTTTCTTTTATTTCCTTCAAAGCGGCCATTGGGTATTGTGAGCACCGACCCTCATTCTCCAAGCATGTAAAGATCTAGTTTGAACACTCCTGAGTTATCGTAGAAATTTCAGAAAAAGGCTTGAAGGCGCTGCAAAAGATAAATCTATGAGCGTATTGGTGAGCTCACAAGTGGCCTGTTTCCAAAAGATTTTCTGTGTTTCTCCCTTTTTAAATTAATAATAACGTTTATATACATGTTTATAAGTAAACATTCCGTGTTATTTTCAAAAAACGTGGAATTTAAGGATTGGGCAGTCCAGTGGACAGTACCTATTAAATTTCGCCATCCGCATTCGCCAGTAGGCTAGTTCTGCAGCAGGCCCCACATCATCCGCCTCCCGACGAATTTGCTCGGCCTCGTTGAGCACCAGCTGGATCTGGACTGTCCAGTTGTGGAGAATATTCTCCAGCTTAGCTAGCCTTTCACCGGACCCAACTAAACGAGACAAAGAAGTGCCCAGTGTGAATGAGAGAGAGGAAGTGGTTGAGTGCAAACGCTTATAGCAGAAGACATTCAAAAAACTGCCTACCAATTCCTTTGATATCGGGACTGGCAACTGCCTGCTCGAGCAATTGTTTATCCTCCTCGTTATTCTCCAACAGGTTGTAGGTGGTGTTTTCGAGGGCGTTGTGGAGAGTGCCTAGGAAGCCATGATAGCTCTCAATGAAGTCGCTTGCTGCCGACTTCGTTGGCTCTGCCTTTCCCAAACCACCTCCCTCCTGACGGACCGAATGGACGAAAAAGAGAAAGACTAAGCCCAGTCCAGCCGAAAAGTAACCACATGTCGCTAATAAAACTAAACTAGACTAAAACTAAAAGTAAACTAGTAAAAGTAAATAATAAATTAAAATCTAAAGCTAAACTAAACTGAAAACTAAATTCAACCTAACTGAACACAAGTGCAGTTGGCGAGCATACGTAGGCCCTCGATAAATTCCCATCGGGCCAATACATACATATGGGAACGGGATGCAAGTTAAAACATGTTCGTCTATTCATACACGTAAATCATGGGCGTAGGGGTGGGTTATAAAAGGTTAGTTATGCAGTGAGGGTTTGATGGAGTCAGTCCAGGGGAGGGAGGAGGGTGTAGGGGTCTGAGTCGCGGGTGATCTCGGATCACTATAAGCATCAGGCCAAATCCCAGGTTGGAAGTTATAAGGCGGAAGGCACCTGTGAGAGAAGCTTATTGTGTACAGAACTCCCTGTCGCTGTCCCAGGCGGCAGTGGCCACTGGCGAAGTCAGGGCTAGTGTTGACTGC